ACGTCATGCCAAGGACAACTGTCACATCACGTTGTCAGATTTTCCAGATGGACCCACTCACGCCCATTTCAACACCTCTGTTTACTTTTCTCAATTTTGTCAAGTGTTCCACCTCGGCTCCGGCCTTAATAATGCTGCATTACATCTCACGTCGACTTCGGCCATAGTGATCTTGTATCACACGTTTTATTTCGGCTCCGGCCATTATGACTCCGGTCATTATATTTTATTATGGCTCCGGCTATTTTGAATCCCATTTTTATATTTAAGCCTAGCTCAGCACTTCTGTTTACTTATATAATTGCACTTTTAAACTGGCATAGTGTTTTACTTCGGCTCCGGCCACAAAGACATGTTTTACTTCGATCCTGCTTACTGTGACCACGTGTCACATACTCTACCTCGGCTCCGGCCATTATGACTCCGGTCATCATATTTTATTGCGGCTCTGGCCATTATGACTCCGGTCATCATATTTTATTGCGGCTCCGGCCATTATGACTCCGGTCATCATATTTTATTGCGGCTCCGGCCATTATGACTCCGGTCATCATATTTTATTATGGCTACAATCACGATTAACTCTGGTAATTATTTTTACACAACCACAACCATGATCACTCCGGTCATATTTCATTAAAGACACTCCCAGTGTAACCCACTGCTACATATTCAATTATTAGCTACGGCTATGTTTACATTCAAGTTACAGACTTTATTTCCTCCTTTTACTTGCACTCCCCTCAACATCCCCAATAACATCATTCACAAGTGAATGACTTCGGGGGGGAATAGTGTAAGGATAGGTCCGAGGTGCCAAGCCTCGGACCGCTACAGTAATTCCTCTATGACCGAAGTGAGGAATAAATTCAAAGCTTCCCGCTCAAATAGCTACACGACAATGGCAATAAGCATGCCCGTACCTGATTCCTTATGATGAGTGGCACAGCAAGTATGGTGGACGCTCGTGCACCTGGATACCTCTCAAATTCCCGGTCCCGGAATAATCGTTTGGATAGACACGTCAAGCTCCGATTATCTTGCTTGGCATGCCACGTGGGTTCCTCATTGGATCCTATAAATACCCCCCCGGGCCACGTCAAAAAGGTAATTGAAACCAACCCTAAGCTTTTCTTATCTCCACCTTAAAGGTAGCCCCGATTATTGCTTACTTAAGCATCGGAGTGTTTACCCCGAGTTCCACCTCGGGGCTTTGCAGGTTATCTCGGAGCGCAAGCGCGGACTGGAGAAGGACTTCTGGTTTGGTGCAATTACAATTTATCTTTTAATTTTTCATATATGTTAATAGCAAGAAGTACAACAAATGAAAAACCCTTTCACAATTGACACATAAATAGGCCAGGGCACAGTTTGGTTTTTGTCTAATTGAAATCAAATTTATAACTATTTGGTTTTTTTTTTTTCTCTTTTCTCATTTTTAGTAACTTAAACTAAACCAAATTTTTTATGGATTTTTTGGCTCGATAACCAAAATAATTGCCTTTAATATTTTTTTTAAAAACATATTTGCAAAGGATTGGATTCGAACCATTATTCGAGGAGAAGGGGATGCATTTTAAACGTGGGTTAACAGTACTGGGCCGAGAGTTCAAGTGCAATTGGTTTAATATTTTGATTAAAATTTAGTCTAATTAGCAATTTTTATTTATTAAATTAATATTTTTTTATGATAAATTAATATAAAAAAAATATAATAATTATTTAGTGTTATTAAAGATAAAAAATAAAGTTGAAATTTATTAAATAAGTACT